GAGAGAGAGAGAGAAAGAGAGAATTTTTTGATATGTTTTTATTTTTGGTTGATTAAAATTATATTTTATTTTTGATCATTAAAAATTTTAATTTTTTAAATATCTTTTTATAAATTTTAATAAATATAATTATAAAATATAATTCAAGAATCATAAAATACTTTAAAATTATAAGATATACTAAAAACTGAAATTTATATGCATAATTTTTAAATCAATGAATTCCAATAGTTATGACAATTATATATTCTATTTCTTAAAATTTAAAAAAATATAAAAGAAGTACTTAAAATTTGCTATGTTCCAAAGTAAAGTTTAATTAAAAAGTTATTTTTAATTATTAAGAAGTATGTATATCAATATTATAATATGATTTTTATCTTATTTATATCTTATTTATTATTTCTTTCTAAAAAATAGATTAGCAAAATAAATTAAAAAATTCATTTTTTAGTTTAGAATAATTCCTATAGAGGACAGGACTCGATGTAACGAATAATGAAAGGTCATTCTTGAATATAAGTAAACCAGGATCTTCTTTTATATAAGATACATCAAAGCGGAATTCCATTTTCATTTTGGGTTTTTACAAAGATGGTGGTAAGGTAAGAGTATTTTATATTTTATATAATCCACATTTATCATATGCATCGTTGAAAATATTAAAAAAAAAAACTATTTTCATGCAACTGACATTCATATTAGATCATTTATCATTATATTTTCTTTAATTTGCCACTATATTTTCTAAATTTTTGTTTTATATGATGATACATAAATAGTCTCGTTCGTATGATGTATTTCTTGATTATAACTTAGAAATACAAGTCTGAATATATTAATGAATTTTATTGATTTTTGTTATTTAGTTATATCAATTATTCGGAATTTGATTTATTTTTTTCTAGAGTTAGCTTAAATCGTTAAAGTTAAAAACGTGCTTTGGATGGCCTCTTGCAGATCATTTATTTCAATTTTTATGGTAAGTATTGTTTCTATCATTATTTCATCATGTTTAGTTTAATTTTATCGAAATAAATTTTATGTTTTGTGTTAGCTTTTTTAATTTCCAATATATTTTGTTTAAATTTTTTTTATTTTATTTCATTTATCATTTTCAATTTTTCAAATCTAAAATTTAATATTCATTCATTCATTTTTTCATGATGTCATGTTACTGCCCCAGTCTGAATATTATATGAATGATTCAGTTTTCTGATAAAAACTAATAATTTTATATATAAATATATTTTATTGATCAATATGTAAACTATTTTTTCATTTTATATTCTAATAGGAAAGAATGGAAATCATAAGGTTTATTGCAGTAAAATTATTTAATAAATCTGGTAAGTTTTTATTGTTTTATAAATTTTTAATTTAGAATGAAATATATAATATAAATTAAATTCTTTTTTTTTTATTATATATATATATTTGTAAATATGATGAATACATTAACACTTCCCCAGTCAATCAGAAATATCATGTAGAAAATGTTAATCTGAATAAATTATATTTTTTAATTTATAATTTTTAATATTATATATAATACAAATATATAATGATATATATATATTCATTTTCAGAAACAAGAAAAGAAAATGGTTAAATAATTTAATTTTAATATAAAAAAGAATGTAAAATAAATATTGAATGAAAAAAGATATGTAATATAAATGAAGGAAAACATTTTAAACAGGTAATATTAAGAATTTTATTTTATATATATAAAAAAATGTTAAAAGTTTTTATGATGAATAATTTAAAAAGTTATCCCTGTCTTACATAAAAACATGGTGATATTTATTTTTTCTGATATAATTTTTAATATTATGACAATTTTAATAATATAATAATATATTATGTAACTAATTTAAATTATATTTTTTTACAGAAAAAATTTAATATATTTACAAATAATAACTTTAATGTGGAACCATGAAGCTTTCTTTTTTTTAAATAAATTGAAAAGTAAATAATTTTTATTATTAGTAACTTATATTTAAATTACAATAATTATTTTATGATGATTAATTTGACAAGCATATGACTGAATAGATTTGATGTCATTTATTTTTCTGATTATAATCTTTTATAATTCAATTGAAATATAAAATATATAATATTTGCTTATTAATTTAAAGAATTAATAATATATTTATTTTGTTAGTTTCTCAAAATCGTGAATTATAACATCATTATTACTTGATGGTAAGTAAAAAATCCAAATATTTATTAGTATATTTTAGTAGAAATTATGATGTTACACTATAATATACGCTAATATGAGTATTATTAATATGATTACAACTTGCCCTCACTGATCTTAAATTCTTAAACCAAATTATATAATTAGCATAAATTAATATAAATAATAAAATTTTATTTTTTTATGCATAGATGTTGCATATATACTTCTGGAAATACAAGAAGAAAATGTCCATGAGAAACAGGTATTAAATAGTCTATTAAAAATCAAGTTCAATTATAGTTAAAATGATGTCTTCAATATACGCTATGACTTTAGTGATATAAATTTTTTTACTGAATTAAAAATGTACATAAGCTTTATATTATTTATTAGTATAAAATCTAATTTATATTAATTTTTATTTCAGAATAAAATAGAAGAGAATAAAAATTTGTTTTTCATTTGGAATCCATACATATTTATTTTTAAAATTATTGTATAATTAATTTAAAGTATACAATTTTATAACTTAGGAATTTCAATTTTATATTTGTATATTAAGTAAATATTTTATTATTTTATTTTGTTAATAATATAATTATGCATTGAGCTTTTCTTGATTATATGCTTTTTTCTTGCAATATGTAAAAACAATGATAATTATAAAGAAATAAACAACTATAAAAAACTCTCAAAGAATTAAATGAATTATTTTTTTATTCTAAAAAAAACTTTATTAAATAAATACAAAAATAATAAGCCTTTCTACTAAAAGGAAAAAATAAAAATTGTAATATATTCAATATTCATATAAATCGTACTTTAAGCAAAAATTTATTTTTGAGAATTAAATTTAAATAATAAAAAATGTATAATCTTGTAAAATAAAACAAAAATAATTTAGACTAGATTGTTTTATTAATAAACTGAAATTACATAATGCCAGTGTTGTAAATTTTATTATATACTAATAAAGTTATAGTAAAAAATAAAATAGAAGTAAAAAAGTAGGTAATACATTCAATGATCAGTACCGTAAAATTAGAAATTAGAAACTTTGTTAGCATAGAAATAAATTTAATTGCATATATAATTATTATACAAATTAATTTCATTGTGATATTGAGCATTGTACTTAACTAATACTAACACGCAATTATTTTCATAAATTTGTAAACAAATAATTGTTTAAACGGAATATTATATGAAAAAAAATATAATTACAATATACATGTTTATTAAAAATTCATGCGAATAACTATTATAGTTATAATTATATTGAGTAAAAAAATATATAAATAACAAAATAATTGATATATTTTAAAAATGGTCCGAATAAAAATTTGTTTTTCATTTAAATGAAATTTTTTATTTTAAGGCCAGTTTTTTGGAAATTATTCTTAAAAAATGATGTTTTTGAGGTAATATAAAAAAAAATGAATATACCAATATTTAATTTTTTACAAACTTGTCTTACAAATTTAAAAATTTCTATTTTACACGCATTTTAGAAAACAATAATAAAATCAATATATAAAAAAAAAAATATTAATTGTGAATTAAAAACATTACAATATTGATCATTTTTATTTTACTTATATTGCAAGTAAAAGTATTATATATATACTTTTAAAACAATTGAAAAATTTATATAGTAAAACAATATTATATATTACATACAATTTTGTTTCAATGTCTGTAAAAAATAACACTTATGCAAATGTTTGATATCTTATGGTTTTTTTCAATATTTCAATGGAAAATTCTAATGCATTACATTAGTTATATTCATTATATTAAGACCGCGATATTAATTTAAACTTGAATTCTAAAAAAGATTATTAATTTATTATTATATTTATTATTTGCATTGATATGGATGTTTCCTTGTTGCATACCAAAGTCTTAAAAATTGCTCTTAATAAAACTTTGGACTATAGTTCGAGATCGATTTTATTTATTATGCAACAAGCTCGAAGAGCACTTATGCATCTCTTATAAATTTTTTAAGGAACGAATTTTAGCATTGGTCTTACGAAGTTCAATAATTTGCTATTTTTTCTTTTTTTACCAATCCAAAATGGATTAGCAAAATGAATTGATCATAAGAATTCATAAGCGCTTGTCTAAGCAAGCTATCAGCACCTTTTCAATGTGAATGAGGGCACTTGTGATAATCTCAATATCTGTGCAGATAAGCTAATAATTATAACCATTCTACACAGTAATAGTTACATTCAGATACTATACATTTATCGTACACTATGCCACATATCACAATTGCAATTGATAATTTGTGAGTGGATCGAAATCCTTTTGGTGGCTAGAATTCGATGCCATAACATATCCCCATAATCGCATAGCTGGTGCACACACTCTTTGTATCTCATCAACTTCTTCAAAATCAAGATCTGTCCGCCAATGAAAGGGTGCCACTTTAGAATTTCGAAAAGTGCTTGAAACACCACCGACGTCATTTTTTGTATGAGTATCTAAAAATTTTTTTACATTTATATGAAAATCTAAACCATAGAAATTATATAGTTCCTTCACATGTTTGTAGGGATCTACAGATAAGTCTTCGTAACGAACTACCCTGTTAAATAAAAAATAAATTATTTTAAAATTATTTAAATAATCGAAATTTTTATATTAAACAAATTGTTTTTGGAATATATATATCACATGTCATTGATTATAAGAGAAAAGCATGTACCTGAAGGTATGTGGATATTTTTTTATCAGTTGTACAGCTGTACTAAAATCTGAAACCATATCTGCACATACTAATGTAGGATCTGAGCAATCTGGATTAGTAGGACACCATTCTCGATGCTTTCTAGATTGCAAAATTCCTCTTGGATCACGAACTAATAGAACTAAACGTATTCCTAAGCTAAAAAAGATAATTTTTTTTTAGAGATAATATATTTTAATATTTAATTAAGAAAAATAAACTATCCTTACTCTTCTTGTTGTAACAGTTTTTCTGCAGCACGCAATCGTAAACGAACTATTTTCATCGACTGAAAGGGAAATAATTTACAAAATTTAGAAACAAATCGTGGATCCCAACAAATTTTTTTGTGAATTTGACATTGTTTCCATAAATGCGTGTTATGATTGAAGACCCAAGGATGTGTTTTGCCATAATCTAAATATCGATCTGGAGAAAAAAATATTAAAAAAAAAAAAAAAAAAAAGAAAAAATGCATTTTATCTGAGTTCATGTGTTAGAAAATGTACCAACCAAGATTATTAAAATCACACTTTAGTAACGCTTCAAGGTTACTAAGTGCTTCATCGGCGAGTGGTGGCCCCCTAATTTGTACAATTCCAAAATCAAGTAGAGGTTCATAATGATAAAAATTTGCTGGATGTGCATTAACTACATCCCCAAGAAATGTACTTCCACTTCGCCAACTTGTCAAAATTACACTTCTCATAGGTCTCCCTCCTTTTTCTAATACTAAATCTTCCAATTTACTATAAGAATTATTATGTGATTTTATACTTATTAATATTATACTTATATTATGTTTTAATTATGAATTTAATTATGAAATATACCTGACATTAACTTCATATTTTCCATTGGGATATTTATATCCTTCCATTTCTCTTTCGATTGCTTTTCTCTGTTGATCAACAACTTCTTGTATCTCAGAAAGTGTAACATTTTCAATAGACCTAAAGTATGCCTATAAATAGCACATATAATATATATATTATATTTAATATATATTAATATATATATTTAATATATATTAATATATATTATATATTTTATATATATTAATATATATTATATATATAAGATTTAATTTTATTTGTTTATATTTAAATCACAGTAAAAATAATAAATAAAATATATCAAAATATAAATATATTCATATTAATTTTTTTATTATAATTGAAAAAATTATTTTTCACAAAAATATTCACTTACCTATATCAAATATAATAATAATTATAAAAAAAAAAGAAAGTATCTTAAATTTTATAGTTTTATTTACCATTTTTGAAATCTTTCGTTAAATGTTTTTTCATTTATAGAAATCAATTTGTAATATTTATTGTATTTATTGTAATATAATTATATTTATTGTATTGAATAAAATTGTATAAAGTACATAATTTTCATATGCATTTTACTTACCGTTGCTGGATCATGGATTTTGATGATACGTGGCGTTATTTCCACATCCTAAATTGAAGAAAATATTGATAATTTAATAAAAATATATAATATATTATGAAGACAATAATGCTGCTGATATAACCAGGATAATATCTTTCTCCCTCTTTCATTATGTAGATAATAAATTATTTTTGAAAATATATGGTGATGCAAAATTATATATATTAATATAATATATATATATATTATAAAAAATAAAGTGCAAAAAGAGATATTAAATTGTGCAAAATATATAAAACAAAAATAAACCACAAGAAAAAAGAAGCATTATTAATTACTTAAAATCTGTGTATGTGTTAAGTATAATTGTTTTGTATAATTATATTTTTTATATAAGATTAATATCAAATTACCCCAGTGATCAATTAAGCAGGATATTTCCAATGATCTTCAATAATTGCTATATCTAATGTTGTTTGAATTAAAGAAAGGATAGGAAAAGGTGGAAACAGGGAGAAAGAAATCTGGTAAATGTTTGTAATGGTTTGACAGTTCATTGTTAGTGTACAATGGAAAAAAGTTAGGTGCAAAAGTTAGACTTTACCATCGGAAAGAGCGTGTTTGGCGTGACTCAATTTAGAGCAATCCCCACCTCCGATTTTTTACTGACCGATATCACCGGCTGAAGTCGATGCTCAAGGTAGCTGCTGTAGCGTTGATTAAATGCTAAGAAGAAGATGCAAAGGGACGCCAGGCCTACTAGACCATAGAAGCTCAGTCGTTTTGACATCTTTGGTCCTATATAATTAATATTAATAATTATAATATTATACTACTTAATAATTAATTATTATTTTAATGCTATAATAGATATAAATTAATAATATGATAGACATAATGTATATCAGTTAAAATTTTCACATTAAAACATATCATGATTTTAATAATTATGATAAATTATAATTATAAGCATTGTCATTACACGAATTAATATTTGTGTTACTATCTAAATATTTCATTTGCTTATTAAATATATACATATATATATATATATTTTATTTGATTTATTTAATTAAATAAAATAAAAAAATTAAATTTATAAATTAAGTAAAATATTTATTAAATAAAAATAATTATTTTAGCATAAGATTAACAATAACAAAAAATAAACTAATAAGAAATAATAATTTAAAATATTTTATAGTATTTCAAGTATTTTAAAATTACATATAATTAAAAATTCATTAAAAATTTAATTTATTTATATAATAAATAGATAATTAATATTATCAAAATCATTAACAAAAACAAAATAGTGTAATATAATAAAATATTGATTAACATTTTGATAACAAAGATCAATTAAACATTCATATCATCATATAAACATCCAACGTGGAATAAATCTCAAATAACAATTCCCGAAAAGAAGCGCCAGACATATTAATGATTTACAGTATAGAAAAGTACAGTATATAAGTGTTGCAAAAATTTTATTAAAACGTTGACATTTGTCTTACCTTGGGATCATACAATTCGTTGCATTTGGAGTTTTCAATCGTGAATAACGTGATTGTCGAAAATCTCACGTTTTTTTTGACATTTTAAAATAGCGATAGAAAATACACAACCATCGCATAGCGCACATCGTGGGCCACTGACGCAGAAAGAATCATACTGCGGCTAAGATAGGATAATCACATGATGCGGTTCATATGTATGAGTGAATAAGATTTATCACATACACAATTATAAAGTATGAGCGCGACATATAAGATTGAGATATACACTCTACACTTATTATTACGACTATATTCACATTATAGTTATATAAAAAATGATTAATGATCGATCTTGACATGAATAAATTTAATAACTAAAAATTATTAATTATAAAATTACATTCTTTAGTTAGATCAAAATATATTATATCATAAATATATTTGCTACGTATATATACAGTAAAGTTGTTCATAACGATTAATTAAATTTATTCTAAGTTTTCATCAAATGAATTAATGTCTTAAAAATTAAAATATAAAACAAAAAAATATCCAATTTAAAAAATTGGATAGTCCATATGTATCTCAATATTTTACTATTGTAATTGTAATAATAATATTTATAATAATACAGTATATTTTCATAATTAATGTATATGTTATTTATATAAATATTGTTTTCTAATAACATAGACATGTATATTGAAATTCAAAAAGCTTAATCATTATATTAATGAATACTTATTATATATATAATTTTACATTATATATTTATTATTATATTTAACTTATTTATTAGAAAATCAATCGATAATATATATTTTAGTGTCATTCTTATTATTCATTTCGAATTGCATCATTAATAATGATTGGAATTTAAAAAAATGTAAAATTATGAATAAAAAAAATAGAATAAATATTCTATAGAATATCTTGCAGATATAATATATGAAGTATTGTATTTTACATATGATTACATTTATATGAAGTATTGTGATAATATACTATTGTATTAAGTTTTTGTTTCTTTCTGTCCTATAATAGTTAATAATTAAAGTTTGGACAATTATGAATTTAAGAATATTTTTTAGAGATAACAAATAACAAAAGAATAAATTTGACAAATAAATCTTCAAAGCATCATTTTTCGATAGAATATTTCAAAATACTCACAATCATATATTAGGATATATTATATTTTGCAAAGTCATCTAGAAATAAGTATATAAAGCTCAATATGATCAAAGATATTGTAAAGTTTAGAACATATTATCTTTTTTATATTACATATTTTGATTTTCAAAGAGAAATCATGAAAGCTTAAATGACATTCCATATCTATTGTTATTGGCGTTATATCACACATCAAAAAACAAAAAGAGAAGAACGTAACTAAAAAATCAATTCCATAAATGAACAAAGTGTAAATAAGGAAAGCAAATAATAGGAAAACAAAGATAAGATAAGAATTGGCCATCAACGCCATCTTTTTAAAAATATTCAAAAGATGGCACTGATCTTTAATTCTTATTGTATCATCCTTATCTTATGAATCTCTTTGATGCTTAAAAGATGAGTCTATTAATTTAGTCTTTTCATCTATATTTCATATTATTTCATTTGCCATATTTTAGAAATGGCACTGATCTTATTTTATTTTATCTTATTTTTATCTTTAATTTTTATTTTATTTTATTTTATTCTGTCTTCTTTTTATTATTTGTTCTTCTTATTTCTACTTGCTTTATAAATTTTATCCGCTCAAAAAAACAAAAGAACTTTTGGGACTTCCATATGATTTAACAATAAAATTTTTCTATTTTTTATTTTAAAATTTTTTATTTTTTAAATTTCTATATTTGTCTTTATTGTATGAATACAATATATGAATTGTATGAATACGATTATATATTAGCAATATATATTAATTTTAATTTATATTTAAATCCATTTTTATAAAAGATATAATATTATTTTATTATAAAAAAATATAAAATTTCTTTATCGACAATTTTTTCTACAATCGATAAAGAAAATTATATAATAAAAGAATAACTTTCACTAATAATTTGAATAAAAAAATAATTACTCTAAAAAATAAAATTACATTTTTCATAATTTCAAAAATAAAATTAAATCATTTATAATTTTTTTACAATATTATTAATTAATTACATGTTAATAATAATGCATAAATAATAATTCTCACGTATTTTCTTTAATAAAAAAAACTGTAAATTAATTTATTTTATCAATAAATATATATTTCATTAAATATTCTTATGGAACATTCTGACTTTTGTCGAAAATTCAGAAAAAAATAAGAAGTATCAGTGCTGATTCATAGAATTACACCAGACGTCGCCACAGCTGCATAGGTTGTCCATGATGTTGATGGGCCCAGCAAAGCAGTCGGATGCTGTTGCTTGAGCAGTGTAGTTGTTGCTGGGGGGAGTTATTTCGATCGCACATTTCTCGTCCCTTTCTCTTTAGTCTGATGTCACACTCTTAGCTTAGATATTTTTTGAGTTAGAACATTTATACCGGCTTCGCCGTCGCAACATCACACATATGATTGCCTGTAACTGTCTGTCTCTATATGTTGCCGTGTTTCTCCCTTACGGAACGATTTAGACACTCTGCAGCATTGTGTGACATATTCTCAAAGTGGAGAGACCTCGTGATTAGCGAGCCGTGTTATCAAGTAAACGTGAATCAACGCAAGTTTTGGTATACGAGTATACATCGTCTCCCGGTAAAAGAAACGTGGAAGTCGAGCATCGTGCGTCACAATGCACATCGTCCTGTGCTTTTTGTGACTGAACGTGATCGGGATAATTCGTGGTATAACTGCATACTAGGTTGGACTGCATCGACAAGAGGACCGAAAAATTGAGCGCGACATTTTTGCTAACAACTCGGCGCCGGAGATGTCATACTAAAAAGACCTACGGTGAGTGTGTTCTGTCTTTACGTTCTTCTCAATCCGGAATTTCAGCGGTGCATTGGTCAATACTGGTTTGACTGCTTTTTTTTTTTTTACTCCGAATAGATGTTTTACTGAAAATCGGTTCGGCAAAACAGCTAAATCACATATTTTGCAGTAACGAGAGCATCCTATATGTATAGAGTATCCTATATGTTTACCTGTTTTCAATCTGTGTTGCTTTTTAGTTGCAATTTTAATTATCTGGAAATTTTTATTACAAAAAGTTTCTAAAAGAATTTTTAAAACCTGTGTATAAATACAATTGAATAACTATTTCGAAAATTCTATAACTCGAACTTGAATTCATTGTATTAACATATAACGAATAAATTAACTCCCTGTGCGAATTGAAATTCAATTTCAGAATTAATGACAAATTGTGATGAAAATTTTGACTATATTTATATTTATTATTAAATTTCTATTGAAATAAGAATTTTAATTTTAAAAATTATAGGGATTTTTATATTTTAAAAATTTATTTCTGCAACAATATTTACAAAATTCTAAAACTCGTTACATTTCTCAAATAAAAGATACAATATAAATTTATACTTCCGCCTGATAATATTAATGTTCAATTGTTAAGATATAACGGTTACTATATAATTATTTGAAAGATTTAACACGCGTAAGAACGATTCCGATAACAATTGGCATTTAAAATTCAATTAATATCTAATTTTTTACAGTAACAATTACTATTTTCGAAATAAAAGGAATAAATATATACATATTTTACAGTTAGAACAATTTTAACATTGCAATACCATTGGAGTTATTTATAATACAATGCTTTTTTATTACTAATAAAATTTTTTAAGTTTGAGAAAAATATAAAAATAATTATGAAAAAAATCACAATTTATATACATGATTTTTAAAAAAAAATTACATATACATACATATATATATATATATATATATATATATAATTAAAATAAAAAATAAAATACTAACAAAACAACATAGAAAGAC